TGCCAAGCCCAGGACGGGAGGGAGGTTTGGGAGGTTAGGGGGTTAGGATTTGGAGAACTTGAGTCTGACTGTTCCCGCTTATTCACAAGTCTCTACCTCCCGCAGGCTTGCAGTCCTGTCTATAAGGGGGTGATAGGCGGGTCATGTCCTGTCGGCCACAGCTGCCATAAGGCTCGCAGAGATACGCTGCACCCTGATCTGCGATTAGCAACCCCTGGGACCCTCCAAACACGTCCCACACGCAGTCCCACCCACTGGGGAGGGTGGGGGTTCTTGGGCCCAGCGCAGGCCAAGGCAACTGAGCAGTGAATGACAGCAGGGGACACACTTGCCAGGGGTGGAGATGGGGGGGAGAAAAAAATCTCTAACTTGGAAGGGGGCAGAGCAGGAAGAGGAGGGAAGACAGGCACCTGTCCCGCCCCCAGATGTAAGAGCCTAAGGTCCTTGCCTGGCCACGAACTCTGACCCTACACAGCTCCCCACCTCTAACCCCTCCAGGGAGGCCAACCACAGGCCCGGGCGTGGTCTGTGAGGGGTCAGCAGGAGTGAGTCACAGGCCCCAATCTCCCCCTCCTCTCCTAGCGGGGTGGCCCAGGCCTCCACAGAAACACTGCGGGTAAACAGGACCGGTTCCTGCCAGGCCACCGCACAGGGCGGCCGGGGTCCACTGGAGGTGACAGACAGTGACCTCCGCACTCCCTGAGGCCAGGCCCGGAAGACCCAGCGCGCGCTGGTCCCTTCTCCCAGCGTCTGAGCCACGGCACCGTACGTCACATACCCTCTCATGGGGCTGGGGGGTCAACCAAAAGCCAGCCACTCCACCAACTCCAAGAGCCTTGGCATCCCGCCCACCCACTTAACCGGGAGGCCCTCACTCACTGCAAAGACTGCCTCCGTGGGCAGAAAGGAGCCAGAGGCTTTGACCTACACGTAGCAGATGCTCCCCCATGTGACCACCCCAAGGTATACAGACCTCGCCCCAGGGTCACCCTCCGATTGCAGAGACTTGAGCACAGAGAACACAGACCCTCAGGACAGACTGGGCCAGCATCCTCCGTGTCTAAGAAAACACGGAAGGTGGATGGCCAGGCTAGAGGTATAGACAGCTGCTGGGGAGGTGTGTGTGTGGGGGGGTGGCTTGACCTGGTCACAAAGTGGGGGTGGTCTTTCCTTAGCCACAAGGCCTGGGGGGCAGGCAGGTATCCCTCAGCAAGCACAGCCCAGGCAGCCGCACCACCGCCTGCTCCAAATGGTGCAGAGACGCCTACCAGAGCGGAGCCGAACCAAAGGGTGCGGAGCGCAGCGGTTGGGCAACAGCCGGCCTGAGACCCCCACGGCCCAGCCCAAGGACACCCCACACTTCTGAGGAAGCTCACAAGACGGACCAAGAATGAGCACACGACCAACGATCCATACCGTTGAGCCCCAGCCCTGGGACTCCCGGCAGCAATGTGTGGGCCCTGACGCCAGCCCCCCAGGAAGGGGGGCTGAGATCTGGGGTCCTGGCAAGAGGGCCGAGCCTCAGGAAGACAGCCTGAGCCTGCCTGGCCAAGGCCCAGCCGCCAGCAGCTTGGCCAGTCCACCCCCCCTCCCCACTCCGCTCACACACTCCACATGCAAACAGTCCGAGCACTGTCCATGCTGACACGTGTGCAAATACACCTCTTGCTGCACCCACACCCACACCCACTCCCGGTGAGAGGACGGCGTCCCTGGCACGGGAACCGGCGGCCCTCCACCCCACCTCTCCCCACACCCCGCCCACGCCAGCTGGGGCTGAGGACAAGGCGCATCCCCGCAGAGAGGGTGCAGGGGGGCCTCCTCCC